TAAGTATCTGAATCAGTTTGCTGATCTATTTCTGTATCAAAAATTATTGACATGCTTTTCAGAGTTCATCTGTCTCCCACCCTGGAGGAATGTTTTGTGGATGTCTCCATAGTCAGACAGAAACGGGAAGCACTGCAGTACAGCCCTGTAAAATATTACCAATACCTGTACAGTGCATCTGTTCCTTGCTTGCAGGTGCCTTATCCTGAGGAAGGGAGGAGCAAATATTCACTGATATACTAATTTGTTTATATATTTTATCCTTCAGACACCACAAGATCATTATACAAATTCACAGAATCACAGACTGGTGAGGTTTGGAAAGGACCTGAAAGATCATTTAGTACCAACCCCCTGCCATAGGCAGGGACGCCTCATTCTAGACCATGTCGCCCAAGGCGCTGTCCAGCCTGGCCTTGAGCACTGCCAGGGATGGAGCATTTATCACTTCTCTGGGCAACCTGTGCCAGTGCCTCACCACCCTCACAGTAAGGAACTTCTTCCTTGTGTTTAAGCTGAAATAATCAATATAGGCACCTTCTCTTTCAATGATAAATTTAAATTGTTAATTGTTACTGCAGGGTGTTGCTTGTGTCGAAGTTAGAGGCCCTTTCAGGTAGACCTGATTACACCTTTGCCTTCTAAACTCACAAAATCCAAGCTTTATTAGAACAAAACTGGAGAAAAAATTAAGCAAACAGGAATTGCAGTACATGGTCTTTACTAAGGCTGAAACATAAATTCATATAGAAAAAATCATATGCAGTTTGCATATGAAGTGGTTAATACAGCTATTTCAGAGCTATTTTTTATGTATATTAATACAAACTTAGAGAGACTAAATGTTCTCCTCTGCTCCAAAACCTGCAGTTTGCAGAATGGGGAGGCCAAATCTCTTTTGGATGCAAACAAAACACCAAGGCCTGAGTAGAATGAAAATCCTTGGCAGAAGCTGTAACAGATGCCTCACACGTAGCACACAGTCAGCTGCCAGCAGTAAAACAGGGTAATCCTGAAAGTCCTGCGACTGGTAAATAGCAGGAACTTAGGGAACACGTCCAAATTCTGACATGGTATACAGCTAAGTGGGTATCTGGCTATGCACATCAACAGCTAAGTGGGTATCTGGCTCTGGACAGCAACGAAGAACATTACTACAAATAAAAGCTTTGTTGTCAGGCTTTGTTTAAGATTACAAAACCTAAAGGGCACTACCTGTAGCAATAGTTGCTATGCAGCAAGTCGCCCCAGAAAACAAACCCATGATCTCAGCCTTCTAGATAGGAACGTCATGAACAAAGAGCAAGAATTGGACAACACAGTTACTGCATGCCAAAAATCTTTAGGATAATTTATTCATATTAATTTGATTGATTTTCCCCATTTTTATGTCTTGCCCATGCTTTCTGGAATGGGATGGACCCAGAACCAATTGTTGAATGTTTAGATTTAAGGTGGATTCTCTCCCAACTCAGTCACTCTACTTTTGCATGCTTATCGAAAACTGGATGTAGGCAACCCTGGGGACAAGTTCTCACAAGTCTTTGTGGGTAAACAACATTTAACCCTACAGAGAATGATGTCCCCTCATGAGAGAGGGTTTCCCTGTCCCTTAACATGGGCCTCTGTGATTTGATGTCAATGAACCCCAAATAAGCTTTCTCCCTTACCCACTAAACCTATCTGAAAGGAAGATAAGTTTAATGAGGAAATGCCTTAAAAACATACTTCATTTTACATTCATGTCTCACCTTGTAATATCTCACTCATGGAGCAGGTGCTGGAACAACTTTCTCACATAATCTGCCTTCTTACAATGGTTGCAATACATCCAGAGCCTGGATGCACCAGGCACCTGGCAGCAGTCTGTGCCCGAGTAAGTCAGAATCTGCAGTACCTGTTTGCTGGCCCCTAACTGTGGGAACTCAGCAGGAGTCCATACATGCAGTTCATGTGAATGATGAAGAAGGGATACAGGAAAAAGGTGATCCTGCCCCTCTACTCTGCTCTTGTGAGACCTCACCTGGAGTATTGTGTGCAGTTCTGGTGTCCTCAGCATAAAAAGGACATGGAACTGTTGGAACAAGCCCAGAGGAGGCCACGAGGATGATTAGGGGTCTGGAGCAGCTCCCGTATGAAGACAGGCTGAAGAAGTCGAGGCTGTTGAGCCTGGAGAACAGAAGGCTGCATGGAGACCTCATAGCAGCCTTCCAGTATCTGAAGGGGGCCTATAGGGATGCTGGGGAGGGACTCTTCATTAGGGACTGCAGTGATAGGACAAGGGGTAACAGGATAAAACTTAAACAGGGGAAGTTCAGGTTAGATATAAGGAAGAAGTTCTTTACTGCAAGGGTGGTGAGGCACTGGCACAGGTTGCCCAAAGAAGCAGTAAATGCTCCATCCCTGCAGTGTTCCAAGGCCAGGCTGGATGGAGTCTTGGGTGACATGGTTTAGTGTGAGGTGTTCCTGCCCATGGCAGGGGGGTTGGAACTGGATGATCTTACGGTCCTTTCCAACCCTAACTATTCTATGATTCTATGAAAAAAGGAGGGGGGGGGGCAATTCTGTGAATGAGAATCAGTCATAGGTTTGTAGGTAAAAAGCTTTCCCCATACTTCTGCTAAATATAAACTGGAGTATGCCTGCCTGGGTACTCTAAGTTCCGCTCTGAGCTCCAGAGCTGGCTGAACTTTGTGTGGGACACTAGATGATGTATAATCTCATTAAGAACATCTCTACAGGGAGGGATGAAGGGACCTTTTGAGAAAGCCTTTACATCCTGCTAAACTTTGATAGATCTCCAGAAGAACCTACAAGAAGAATCCTGGAGGTACAAAGGAGGCATTCTAGTAGTTGTAAACAAAGGTGTGCGTGGGTAGCACTGAAATGATGTTGGGCTGTTTTCACAGACCCGATCATGTGGGGTAGCACTCATTCTGGCCTGCTGATTCTTTGGAGTTTTAGTCTCAGTATACTGACTGAGGTCAATGATCCCTTGAGCTTTCTCTTTAAAAATCATTCTTACTAGAAGCAGCACTCTAATTGCACCCATGTGATACTCAGTCAAAACTTCCAAGAGGACTTCCTGAAATTCCAGACATTTTTATCAGGTAAATTCTCCCCCTGTTTGATGTGATTTATTTACATTAATTTATGCAAGTTATAGTGTCTAATAACTTTTTGTTTTATACTAAAGCATGACTTGGCATCTAATTCTGGAAGGAAGGAAGGAAGGTAAGTACTGTGACAGGAAGACGTCATGCCAGGCCTACAGAGCACAGAGCATTAGTGTAGCTTTCGTTTCTTGTTTCCTTACTCCTTTTCCTGTTCTACCTCTCTGACAGAGCTTGAAGGTTTTGACTTACTGACAGTCTGAATGCAGAAATAGAATATCCTTCTAGCTGTGAGCCATGACAGCTGCAGTTTGTTCCATGTGGGGTTTCCTCTTCTTTCCCTTGGTCAGAGGACACTTCTGTGAGCAGCAAACACTCAGGAGTTTCTTGCTCATGCCTTTTCTTCTATTCACAGCTCTCCTGCTATGGGAAGTTCTCTGAATAAGAAACCACTCATCACAGTCAACATGTTAAGACTCACGCTGTGAAAAATTAGGGTTGTCTACGGGCAGAATCATCACTTTTAAATGGAGGAAATGCCTTCTTCAAGAACAACTGGTGACGTGGTCTCCATTGGTGACATGCACTGGCCAGCTATCAGGTCTCTATGTTACACTTTCACAAAGCAAGCATGGTGTCAGGTTCGTGGATACCTATCCTGGAAGGATGTCTGTGTGGATATCCATGAGAATGGCAAGATCTCACTTATTTTCTCCCTGCTGATAGATGGATTTGTGGGAAAGCTGCAAGCTTGACTTCATGAGATTTTCTGTTTGCCTTCTTTTTCCTGCTTTGATCCATTTTTTCTCCAGATGGGAATACTCATTAGTATTTGCTAATTCTTTAAGAGTCCTGTGAGACAGCTTTATATTAATGTACCAAAGCAGAGCCTTTGTGTTTGTTGTTGTCTTACAGGGTGTGCCCTATGTTATGATTTGATGGAACATCTCCACGTCCTTTCTATTGTTTTAAACAGACATTACTGAGAAGGATGAACAAACAGATTAATGTTTCATCAATCACTATGGTTTATTAAGGTAATTAGAAACAAAACATAGCAATGGCTATATCACAGGCATATAACATTAAACCAGAACATTAATTATAGCACCTCCTACCCCTTTGAATACACCACAGAACCTCAGCTCCAAGCCCCACCACAGCCCTCCATCCCTGCTCCCAACTGCGAGCACCCACTCTCCCAGGAAAACATCATCCAGAGTCAGCATCTGAAGGAAGGAAGCTCCACTGAGTGTTCTCTAAGCAAAGGCAGGAGAGAGGCCGGCTCAGCTCAGAGCCTTTGTTTTGCACAGTACTCTTGTAGGAAAGACTGTACAGGAGAGCTCTCTCCCAGGCCATGAAGAGACATAAAGAGAGAGTAAGTGTACAGGTGTCTTGCAGCTTTGTAGGACAAGCTCCAGAGTCTTCATCAGCTTTTATTACATTACAATATCAATAATGAAGTAACAATAAGCCCTTTTATCAGCAAACTTACTATGCTGTCCAGTGGAATGAGTCTTGGGATTCACCTGGGAAATAACTACGGTGCAACAGTCCCCACTCTGCTCTATTGCTCACACATTAGGAAATAGTATAAACCACAGTTTTCCACAAGCACTTGACAGCTATCACTAAAAAATACAGCCAACTCAATGCAATTACTAAATACCTAGCAATTTTCTCCTGCAGATTCATGTTTTGAGCTCAGCCTGAACTTCCATGCCCATCTTCACAAGCTGTGAAGGCTTTCTACAATATATAGCAAGTGGCCATTGTTTTCATTAACTCTGAGGCATATTGCAGAGCTCTTACATACTCCTGTACCATAGCACAGCAGCTCTTGGTGGGGGGGGGGGGTGTCTTAGGAAGTATTGTCAAGCTCAGAAATGGAAATGTGGTAGATGGCTTGAGAATTAAAAGATGCCTACATGGGAATGTTACATATCTTTTATGAAGTAATGTCCATTTTTTTCTGTTTTCCAACAGATATCAACCTGTTACTCTCACTTTGTTAGCATTGGTAATGTACAACTTATATCAGTTTGCTCCCTAAAACTGTTGTTATATGTGCACACATGCACACACATCTTCTGCAGGTTTCTTTTGTTGAGATCCAAACTAGTTAACAGCATTACAACAGCCAGTGGTTCCAGGCAATGTGCTACTTACAGTTTCCTGTAGGCAAATGTCAAATCTGAAAGTCTGTTGTGAATAGTTACAGAGATTTTTCTGCACCAATAGCCTCTGTTACTGACTAGTGCTTGTGATGAATGAATTAGCCATCCGTTTTCTGTCAGCACTGCAGGAAGAGCCTGAGATCCTGTGTGAAAGAGGAATTAAGAATAGAAAGCAGCTTCCATCTAACAGCAAGAAACTAGAGGGGAGTGTTAACTACTCAAGTGCTGATAACAAAGACACTAATCAAACTGTCAGTATCATTTCTTCAGTTTTTCTAGGCTTTCTGCTGCTGCCAGAAAATTAAAGTAGCTTTAGATATATTTACATCTTTAGATATAGTTCTCGAGGGATGTGTCATGTAGAAGGAAGTTATGAAGCAAATCTTATTCCTCTCTTCCTCTGCATGATCTGACAAAGAAAGCAGGAGAAGCAGGTAGCTGGAGATGACTCTGATTCAGGGGAGAAGGGGGGAGAGAGACTGCATCCCTCTGCATAGCCTTAGCTCTGATGGGAATCATCTCCAGCTTCCTCTGCCTCAGCATAATTTAAAAGTAAAAGAAATTCACATGAACTACAGCATTGCCAGGGCAGCACGAGCAGTCCAGTACTGGGGGGTAACAGGACTGTCGGGACACCAAATATGGTGGTGGGGAGGGTAAGATCCAGAACCATGAATGCAAATCACACGTTACATGAAATGACAAGCTTTTGTTTTCTTGCTGTTCTTGCTTGGCCTTTTCACTTTGGATCTCTCCCTGTGCCAAAGCTGCCGCATTTGTGGAATAGTCAGCCATGCAAGAGCTACCAGATGTACCAAACAGTAGTCCTGGCTTTGTGTGCCATCTGCCATCAAGAAGGGATGTAGCAAGCTTCTTCCTATGCTTCTTCCTGACACTATGGTCCCATACGTGTCTCCAGCTGATGTTCAATATATCACTGCATCTTCCCTCTGAGATAGACCACCCTGTGCTGGACGCTGTCTTCACAGCCCTCATGACTCAAGTCTCTTTGCATCCATTTTTATCAGCCTCCTTTTCCCTCTCCCTTGGCCATGCTGCTGGCAGCAAAGGCTGTACAGATTGGTGGCTGCAGTGTCATTAAGCTGTTTTGTCCCTGTCATTTTCTATGTATTGAGAAGCTGTGAGCCAACTCTGGATCCAAGACTTGTCTGCCAGCCTTTGTACATGTGCAGATAGAGCTGATAGGAACTAAGTGCATTTGAGAGATTTTCAAGATGGCTCCTGAGAGACTGACATCCCCTAAAGTTGATGCTAATACTCATTATTGGTTTCTAAAACTGATTAATATGGTCACAAATTAATTTCCAATGTGACCAGGCAGTAGATTTTCAAAAAATGGAGTAAGCCTTGTATTTAATAGCACTTACAGATCTAAAATTAAAGCCACGTAGGAATATAAGAAGTGGATAATAGCTTGAGTTGCTTCTCACACGTTTCATTGCCCCCCTCACCATAATACTACAATCAGTTTCTTTGCACTCGATCTCCTGTGAGGTGAGAAAGCAGCAGGCAGAACAAATGTATTACCTGAAGTTACCGAGATCCACCTAACTGCCATGCTCAGACCAGTCCCAAGGGCTCATGGGGTCCAGCAGGCACAAATGGGGAAAGCCCAAACATTGTCCTGCCTGTGCTGACTGCCCAGCCGGTTGACTGGGTAGTAAGTGCTTTTGGAGAATAGGTAAGAGTCACCTTTCCACTGAGGGTTTAAATCCTGCACCACCTCAGTGGTACAGTTTAGGGGTACATCTACCTACTTCTCAAAAGAAAAGATAAATTTTTCAGGCTTTCCCTCTTAAATCAGACCATAATGCTCACAAAGATGGTGAAAAGAGTGCAAATCACCAGGAACACCAGACCTGCTGCTCATCAGAAGATTTTGAAGATATAAAAGGGAAATCCTGGCTGGATTTTTGCCAACCAAGCTGCTTGAGAGATGAGGCTGGTGGGCTGTGGTGACAGCACTGCTAAAAGGGAATATAATCAGACATTGAATTCCATGCAATGCAGCTTCAAGCATCTGAAGTTATTTGCTTCTTTTCTACAGGATTCATGATTGAGGCTCTCGCAGACAACAAGTGGTTTGACTCTAAAGAAGATAATTTATTGCTTCTTATGTCTTTTTCTAATAAAAAATTGAAGTCCTTAATGTAAAAAAATTATGTCCTAAAAATATTTGCTGTGGAAAACAACACTCTCCATCCTTCCCCTCTTACCAACAGGCAAAAATCTATTATTTATAAACAGTCTTCATGAAACAAACATATGCCATTAATGATCAACAGGAAGACAATCATTTCATATAGGTAAAGTACTGTACAGTACAACAGATCATGTCAGGGATTTGTTATAAGAGTGCTTAGGATGATTAACCACATCCCCAAACACCAGTAGAATCTCAGCAGCAGTCAGTCGACAATCCACGTATCAAGCACCTGTGAGGACAGGTTCAGCCCATTTTGTACAGAGGAAACTGTTCTTTGTTTAACCTACATTAGTCATTCAGGGAAAAATAATCCTCATAGTCCATAGTATAGTTGAACAAGAAAAAATCCATTTGATACAATTTTTTGATCTTCTCAATTTGTTCTGAGTTCAACTGTCTGAGGTACTCCAAGGTGATATCACCATTAGTTCGTTTCTCTGAGCCATACCTCTTCAAGTTGGGGAAGTGCAGGCTCTTTGGTGCTCCAATGACCTTCAGAACATGCTCAGAATCTAACCTAAGAGTTTCATACTTACCCAGAATATCATAGTGAATGTTGCAAGGATCACAGAGCAGAAACATCGGTTTCCAGTGAATGTCAAGACTATTTGGTGGTTTTGCTACAATGAAATTGACAAACTCCTGAAAACTCACTTTTTCAGATGAATTTTTGTCTTTCCTGAACATTGCCCTAATCTCGTTAGCCACAGTGACACTGTAGAATGGCTCAGAGTGCAGAAGTTTGTCTCTGTAAGCTGAAACCAGGCGTTCCAAGGGATGTCTGGTGAACATCACTTTGGTGTAGTTGCCCAAAAATTCTTTTTGTATGGCAGGAGGGTACGCCACCAGCTTCTTGATCAGCGAGGTTTGGTGGATGTGGTCATGCTCAATTTCAGAAGCTTCAGCATTTAAGTTTGCTTGGAGAAGAAAAATAGTTCTCTTCCAGTTGGAGCAGCCTACCTTGGGCACCTCACAGTAGATAAATTTATGTTTGTGCTCCACAAAGAGCTGGCTTGCGACATGAGAATCCAATTTACTTCTTAATTTGAGAAGGCCGTTCTTTAGGCAGAGAGAAGCCAGTGTGCTTTTGCGATCATTCTGAATTGCCAGCCAGTCTTCAGTGGGATCAGGAAAAACACCTGCAACCAAAAAAGAACTGTAAACCATTAGTGTGAAATAGACTTACTAAGTCTCTTTCTTTGTGACACTCACATCTCTCAATCTGTTGTCCTGCATATAAAAACTAATGAAGATGCTAAAATCAGTATTTTGTTTTCTGTCACCAGATTCCACTATGGCAAACCCATAATAAACTGTTCTGCTTAGTGAAAAGTCTGATAAAATGAAAACTTTCAACATGTTAGCAGTATTACTTTAGTCAAGATTGATGCTCTAATACTTCTAATGTCAACTGATTCTTTGTAGTGCTCTCTCTTTCATATATTGCTAAGCTAGCAATAGTGGCAGCATGGCCTTGAATGTTTTCACAACATTGTTTACCACTAAGGCTCTGTAGTTACTTTCTAAAACAGTTGAGAAAAGTGTCCCTGGTTCTAGAATACATTCAGTCTTTTTGTTGGTAAGTTCTTTACTCACCTGTTAGGGGTTTTTGTCTCTTACAAAAAAAGCCAAAAAGAAGTATCCCAAAAATAAAATTTGGGAGAAGGAAAATTAACACCTTCTGGTTCATATTATTTTCACAGGAAGGAGGATGACATGAACTCTAAAGTGGAAATCTGCCTTTCTGTCAACAAGGAAAAACAATACAAGTTAGATTTTGTATGACTGATATAAGAAAGATAACAGGGTATTCCCTTACAGACTTTATAATAGCAGAAAGACCTTTTAAGCCTATAAAAGCAGGCTTTGCTAATAAGTAAAAATTCTACTATGAAAAAGGCTCACCATAATTATACTGTTAAACTGAACAAATACTATGACCATTTCAAAGTATTAGAAAAGTTAAAACATACATTCTTAGAACAATGGACTATGTATGAGCAAATGCTTCCCCCTTCTCCTCATGTAAATACGGTGTTTCTGCCAAGCAAACTCTCTGTCCCTTAATATTGTGTAACAGTAACTTCATTTGTGATTACAGAGTTGTGTTCTTTTAAAAAATAACATTACGTGTTAGAATCTGGAAGTACAAAGTTTGCTGTAACCTGCAACAGGCTTATCTGCAAGCCTATGATACATTCAGGATGAGATTCTTCCCATCTCTTGCCCTGAAGCTTTCCACTTTGTACAAATAATATTCACTGCAGGAGAATCCACAATCCAGAGAAGCCTAACTGCTACTAATAGATGAATTCTCACATTTTCTCTCTCCCAAAGACATTGAAGTGCTTATGTTTGCTGCCGTAAGAGCTCCCAAGTGTTTCACTCTGGCAGGAAGCATAAAGAAGCAGCAAAAGAAACAACAGGCAAGAAGATGTCCCATGTTCATAGATAAAAGGAGAGAAGACCAATGCAGTCCAACATTCAACATATTCCCTCTCCTGTGCTCACTCATTTTGTCCCTTTGCACTTCCTGGAGAGAGAGCTCTCTAAGCCCTCTGTGCAACCTTCCTGTGTTGCCCCCATTAGAAAGTTCTTCAGCAGCGTGCTATTCATCATTTTTTTGTTTGAAATAGCAAAGTTAAGTGCAAAATGGTAACTACTGGCAAATGTGACATTCTATTTCTTTCCCATAAAGTCTGCACCATCAAAAAAGTCAAGCAACACCATCTTCCTTTTCCACTTTTGAGTTTTTCACCCAGAACCTGATGGCAATAAAATCATCTTTGCCTGGATTTCTTAGCAACGTAACTTCTTTCTGTTTTGTTTTTACAGAGATACAACAGGACCACTCTGCAAGTTATTTATGATGCCCTCACCCCCTCAAGTGTGGATGTACATGAACTCCATCTGCCAGAATGGAAACTTTTCCTGCGTGTTCTGAGGCAGTACTAGAGGCAGCACTAGTTAAATTGCTGACAACGTACTTGCACACAAGGCTTCTTCCTTTCAGGGCTGATGGCTGATTGTTGTATCACACATCTTTACCCAAATATCTTCAAAATCACACAGTTAACAACATCACTCATGATTAAATCTTAGTTTAGGCATGACCTATGTAATGGAGGGGGATGACTGTTCACTCTCTCTGACCTGTAAACATCATTATGAACAAATCTGCAGTCACATTTATTAATAATATACTTGTGTTGCATTCAATTGTTAAAATATTCATTCAAATCAATGCAACATTTTTACATATTGTGGTATTTAGTCAATATTTTTGTATTTTCTTGGCTGAACAGGATTGTTATAAAGGCTACAAGAAAAAACATGGGTTGATCTTCAGCCTTAAACCTTTGCTTCGCTGCACATCAATTCTCCCTTCGCCATGTTATCTATTGATTTCTAATGCATCAAAGGATACTTTCAAGGCCAGCTAAAGTCAGACAGGTTGTTCACTGAACTCATGAGGTCCAAGACTGAGTGATCCCTTTGTATTTTTCTTCACAAGTGGTTTGAAGACTGTTTCATGCTGTGCAGCAATTAAAATAAATATGACACTAAACAATTCTGTAAAGGGACTCCTTGTTAGAGTATGGTTAGGAGAAAGAAATTGGGCCTTGTTTACCTTAAATGCTGTCACCTCAGAGTATAAGGGTAGTTATTGTTATCATACCTGTCTCAGGAATCAGAAAATTAACTAGATTAATTTACCCTATTTAGATACTTCTATCATATATATTTGTTAATTAAATTACTGGTACAGAATATAAGGTCTGCCCTAAGACACATTTCATGTTGAAACGTGTCAATGAGTCACCAGAGGAGACTTGCCTCCTTGAGGGAAAGAAGCTGTTTATGAGCTAGCCAAACACAGGAGACAACTCCTCTACTAAAACATTTGTGGAAGCAAAAGGATCCTTATTTTAATTCAGGAGAATGATCAAACCATAAAGAGGGACAGAACAAGCAAGCTGAAAAGTGACAGGTAAAATCTTTCTGGACCCCTTAGAAAACTTCAAAGTGCAGACTGGCTCTAAGGGCTAAAGCCATCCAGTATCAAGTGAGGTCAAAATGATAATTAAAAGAAGCTACCTGAAGGTGAAGTCCAAAGGCTTCTTCTGAAGATGTTTCCTGATGGGGCACCCCAGTACGGAGTTCTGTGTAATGCAAGGTCTTCAGTGATGAAAATCACCTAAAAGCAACCTGAGGAACAGGAGGAAAGAAAACTCTGAGAGCTGTTTTGTCAGAAGAGGGACAAGTCACCTGGAAATAAAAAAAAAGAGGGGAGGGAAATCCAAACTAAAACCCACCTTTGTGATACATTCAGTGTCAGTAGATCAGATGAACTTTTTCTTCTATTTTTTCACTTGTGTTTTCCAGATATTTGTAATTGTGTTGCCTGGTTTAGATGCAAGGATTTGATCCTTCTATTTGCATTTTACCTCATCCTACCTTGAATTAAGTGTGATTTAAGGTAACTGGGTAACTACAAGGCATTCCTCAGTCAAGGTGTGGTGAATCTATTAACACAACAACTCCACAATAGTCTAGTTCTGCTGTAACCAGAGGGCAGCAGAACAGACTTCCACAGGCAAAGCAGAACAACAGTACCATAGAACTCAAAAAAAACCCAGAAATACAGTGAAAAGTAGCACAGCAAATAGAGATCTAAATGTCTCTCTGAAACTAACATATACCCAGAGGGAGGAGAAAATACTGAAAACTCATTATAGGGCATTAATCTGCCTTGTCATTACTACACATAGTTGGGGGGGAGTTGTGGATTTGTTTGTCTTTGTTAATGAAGCGCAAGATCTTCTGGATAACTGCTGTACACTGAGCTTTTGGGTTTTGCTTGTTCTTCAGGTCACATCATTATAAATCAACCATTCATCACTGTGGCTTAATGTTTCCACCTCTGCATGTAGAATTATAGAATCATAGAATAGTTAGGGTTGGAAAGGACCTTAAGATCATTCAGTTCCCACCCCCCTGCCATGGGGAGGGACACCTTGCACTGTCTTACCGGATTCTGCAGATTTCATCAGAAATCCTTTTATGAGTTTCTTGGACATTACCACCTGGCAGTAAGAGGAATGATCCTCATAGAGCTCTTGCAGAAACCTTTCGGAAGGATTTCTATCAGCTGATGAGATTTTTTGAGGCCTGTCAGTTAAGTAGTGCTGAATTCCTTCAATGTGTGTCCAGCTGATCTGATGGCTTTCTAGTTTCTTAGCCAAAATATGCTGCAGTATCAAGTTAAATGCTTTATACAATTCTAAATCCACTATATCAATGTTATTGCCTTAATCAACGAAATCCAAACAAAAATAGTATGTCAGTTTGGTGAGATCCATTTCCTATAACATAATCCATAATTGCTCAAGCCAAGAATGGTATCAAAAGGGGAACAGATTATTGGAGAAAGCAATGCTAATCATCTTATGTTCATGCAAGATGGGGAAAAAAGTCTTGCAGCCTTTCTAAAATGACAGATTTTTATTGAATTCCAGCCTTCTTTGCACTGCTGATAATTCTACCATCTCCCTCTGCTAATCCATTGTCAAGATTCTTTCCTTCCTGATGTACACGCTCTTCACAACGAAACCAAACTAAGTTACATCATATTGTTTGTGTCTTTGTTCTTAAGTTTGCTGATCATAAAATGTTCTTTCCATTCTTCTGTTCCCTTCAAGAAATTTATGACAATTTTCTGCTTTTAATTATTTTCAACATCCCCTTTTTCTGTGTGCTACACTGGATAAGGAGGGGTGGCTGGAAACCTACTTGCACATCCCTGTATGTCAAGCTAGATCATCTGACCCAGAAGAGCTCTCTGTCTCGATGAGGTTGTGCTTTTCCAGGGCAGACACAGAATTGTCATATGCCTGAGTTATCAGATAACTTTTTCTGTTAAATTTCTTTCTCTTGGTTCATTCACCTCATACTTGCTTTCCATTTTGTGATACTAGACCTTCTGCAACCATCCCATATGTCTGTTCATGGTCTGGATTTTAGCTATTCATACCATGTGTAGCCACACCACAACCACTCACACTCAACCACCAACCCTGGCTTTGTACTGAGTTTGTTTTCCCCTCACCAAAACAAGGTCCTATATAGAATCTCTAGTACTCTTTCAATTAGGAAATAGACAGTCCAAAGATATTTTAATGAGAAAGTCATATAAGTAAATTACTTGCACATCACATGCAGATTGAAGCTCTCCTTCCTGCCATGCAGGTTTATTCCTAGTACAAGCACCCAAGGAGTACATTGCATTGCCTTGAACAGGTATCACTGGCACATCATTCTGTCCTTGCACTACTAAAACAATGATTCATAATATAGCATTCCTTAATCACTCCTTAATCCATTCTCCTGAACCAATTGAAAAATCTGCAGTTTGTAAAGAAGTATTAAAAAAATCAGTCTGAAAAAAACAATCCTTTAAAAAAATTAGAAGCCCTATAACTGGAAATGTTGAATAATGTTAAGTCGTTATGCATGGTACCTATTACCCAAGTACAGAAATTCATGTACACACTCTCATGTGTGTATATGTTTCTGAACTATATGGATGCGTATATAAATACACACACAGGTGTAGTTCAGAAACACATTAATACCAGTTGTACTGGTGTATTGTTTGCTCTAAGTAAACTAACTAATTAGTTTGATAAGGATTTAAAGTCTCCTGCTGATAAACTTAACAAAGGTGTGTCTCAAGCTGATTTTTTGCAGACAGGCCTTGGTCACAGCTGAGCCTATGGAGTGATCCTCTGTACCGCACTTGATGATAAGCGGGACGTGCCAGATTAAAAGAGTGAATTTACAACAACACTTTTTTGTGATCCTGATACATTTGAAGCCAGAAGTTAGAAAAGCTACCAGTAGCACAGCTCAGTGGAAGGCAGGGAAAATCTCCAGAAACAGGTAACATTCTCAGTCACTGAGTCCCATTCTGTACTTAAACCCTGTTAATCCCTTCAAAAAGACAACTGCAAATACATACATACTGGTATGTACCTGGGTACACAGAAGGTAAGGAGGGGATGACTTGTAGAAACCCCCCCAGGGACAGCCAGAATAAAAAAAAAACAACCAGGAAAAACAGGCTTTGCTGGATGAACTTCTGATTGTGCTGTTATAACAGGGTGGACTGTGCCTTTAGAAGCAAGAGCCTTGCTCACCTGAATCTGTACCCACCTTGCTCCTCTGTTTGCTATGGATGGACAGGAGGAAGGGAGAGAGACCCCAGAAAATGGAGTCTCAGCAGGCAGGCTGGTCTGCTCCACTTATTGGGAAATTATTAGTGGATTAGGGACCTTCAATAGGCCACAGTCAGTCAAGGGCTAGGAGAACCTTCTGATATAGTTCATGTTGCCAACAAGAGCCAAGGTGTGACATCATCTCACTTGCAGCAGCAAGGGCTGAAAGGAGTTGTGCTCAGTACTTGGAAGCTCAGGTACAATCTCAGTAGGGAGACAACATATGAGCTAGACTGGGAGCTACTGAGGAAGAGACTGAGGGGTGTCTCAGAGTAGCACACTTCACAGCAGTTTGGTGGGTACAAAGTCACAATTTCCAACACAGGCACAAGCTAAAACTCTTGTTCCCTGCAGTGGTCATCTCAGCGCTCCAGTACTGCATTAGATTTCTCTCTGGTCTCAGCAACTGCAGTGCTACCTTCCTCATTTCACTACTGAACTGCTTATTATTCTCATTACATCACCTTCTCGTGTCTGCCTTTTAGCTTCTCCTTCTCTATTTCATCCTGTGGCATCCTTGTCTTGTCTTCCAAGGTTTTTCTTTACCTATCATTTCTCATGCAGTATTAAAAGCTCACCTTTATCTCCTGATCGGTCATATTGCTAGCCCCTGCAACCATTAGCCCTCAATAACAAATAGCTTCTGCTTTCTCCTCTGCTCTCCTCCTTTTTGGAAGAAGTTTTTTTCTGAAGCACCTACAGAGCTATTACATTTTTCACCTAAAATCACTCCTTGAAGTCCTTCTTTTCAGGGATGCCAACACCAGTTAGGCTGCCAGTGTGCTAGAACTGTTACCAAACAGCCCACAAAAGAGCAAGCTAAAAGAGAAGCCAATCTGGGGATGAAAAGAACCAAAATAAGGAGAAAAAAAAAGAGTACATGGGTAAAGGCAGCACAGAGTCTGACAGAAAAAATGTCCCAAAGAGGCAGGGAGCAGCAACCTTAGTGGCAGACCCCAGGCCACGTGAAATAGAAAGGCTGTGTAGCCTGCTCAAATGATGTTGTGGGAAAGGGAGGTGGAGAATGGGGAGGTGGAGAATGGGAGTGGAAAAGATGTGAAATATAATTCAGTGAGGATGGAGAAGAATGAGTTCAAGGAAATGAGAACAGAAAGGATTATGCAAAACTAATCAACAAACAGATTAAATGCACTGCAGTCACTCATGCACTGGAACCCAACCCTTGTGTGATCAAACTTGTCTATGTTTTTTCTTCCTGTAGTTGTAGCCAGAAAGGCCACAGGCTTTTGATTCTGTAAGTATGGCCCCTTCCTATTGATATTGCCAGAAAGCAGTGAGGGACAGCTCTTCCCTTCAGATGGCAGCTGGGAGACAAGTGCAATAATCACATGGCCAGCCTGGCAGAGGCCTGACCAGCCTGGATCCAGCACCACCTGTGGAGGGTGATACCTGGAGATGGTGGCCAGATTCAGCCAAGAAACCAGACCATCACCACAGTAACATCAGCTCATAAGTGGGCCCAGCTTGGCTGGGCCTTGGGGAGCTGGGGACCGGACCTGCAGCAGCATTGCTGGGGCAAGGACCGATGACCTGAGGGGCTGACATGGGGCCCTGGGCTGTAGACAGGGTAGGGGAAATCCACAACAGCAAAAAGCAACAAAGGGGGCTGAGCAGGGATAGTTGGTGCCCTGTTAGTGCTTTGGGGGCCTGGCAGATGAGAACAAAGTCCATCCTCTCTACTTGGTTACCTGATAATGGACTGTGTGGACTTCTTATCTAAATGCATAATTCAAGATCCCATGCACATATCAACTGCCATTTAATCCACTATAAAACTAACCATAGGACAGCAACCTTTACAGTTTTCTTCTAGCAACCTTTACAATTTTCTTTGAGGGAATCTAGATGAGCCTAAGAAACCTGGAACGTAGGAAGAAAGGGAGAAAAGAGAGCATGGAAGAAAAGCTTAGAACATGATGTACTCCTACTACGGTGGCAATGAATGCCCTCCTATCAGGCTTGCTTTTGGGATATGGGGCCTCACAAAATGCCTCTGCTATTCTCACTATGTTGATAACTAGGTCTATGGCTTTTTGTGTGTCTTACAGCTCCCTCCCATATTTCTCAGTCACTGTCAGTAATAGCAATGTTGTCCTTGCCGTTGAAGTTTATGTACCTTGTCTCAACCCTAGATCCTTTCTGTCCCTTTCCTCTCTTCACCTCCCTGTGTAAACGTGATTCATTCATTCCTGCCATTGCACACCAATTGCCAGACTGTTTGTAATAGCCCAGCCTCTTAGCACACAACCCCCAGGCAACCTCCTGGCTGCTGTTCACCTCATTTATAGCCTTCTTGTATTCCCTCCTCTAGTACCCCTCTACCGTAACTGATGGCAGCCATTATCTCACTTTCTCTTTTTATACTCCAGTGCATAAAAAATATCTCTCCTGGAATTATTTTCCTTTTTGCACCCATCTCATCAGCTTCTTCCATCGTTCTAGCCCAGCTTTTGACCCTCATTTTCAGGATCCACCACTGTTTTTTTCAAAGCGATACCTATACTCTCCCCGCAACTCTTCCTTTGTTAAACTCCTCCAAAAGCTCCCGTGCTTATGTACAAGTACTTACACCAGTGTTTTGGTGCCTGCTCCTTTACAGAAATAGCCTCTTCACCTGAAACATTCTTCCTGACAAACTGTGTACATGCATTCTTCTCCCCTCCTACATGAATCTAGGCCTATTTTTCCTTTCTTTTCTGGTCTCCTCTGTATTGTGGGACAAGCTGTTCAGGAGAAATGTTATGTTTAAAATCTGCTTATATGAAACATACTTTTACATCATACTATGGCACATGCAGTAGCAAATATGAAGAAATTAGGAAAGAGTAGGATTAAAGTGGTGCATGAGGTAAATCAGAGAGCATAGAGTGAAGTATCAGCTGGCTTTTGGCAGCATAGTCTTGCAACTAAAGAGATGACACCTCAGAGTATTTAGCATTACAGTACACTCTAAGTTCAAAATAGTCTTGCCGATTCAGTTACAGATATGAATGCTCAAATAATCTGCAAATCTGGTTTCCAGAGCCTGCTCAAGCACTCAGAAAATGAAGAATGGACAGTCAATGAGTGAAAAGGTGGGTGCTCCACACCATTTGGAATCATTGTGGCAGACAGAAAGCTCAGACTCTCACCCTAAAACCTTTTGCATGATTCATGCACACCTTCCCTCATCTGCTGTAGGTAGTGGGGATCCTAATACACAGCTCTAGAGCATCTCAAGAGCACGTCCATCCTGTGAATGGAATGTGTCAAGTTGTGTGGAATATTTTGTTTCTTAAACACAAGTGTTAAAAAACTAAAGAAAAATGTATTCATGTGGCATCATAACAACATGCACAACAATCACTGTCGGTGGTAAATCATTTAGCTCCCTTGACTGACTTTATGATACTCTAATGGAATAACTGACAGAGGCAGCAGATTGCTATCTTCTGAACAAACCCAGCATCAGTAATGATGAGACCCAAGCTTGTCAGACTTACCTGCTGATAGCCACAAAATGGCAAGACTGAGGCATGCAGGATGCCATCCCTGACACTGGAAGAGTTTGCCCCTGCTTCCCCTGCTCCCACCATCAGCACAGCCTGACCACTCTTCCACTCCTGATACCTCCAATTCCACCTCCTCGCACCCCACTCCCTAGCAGCTCTCCAACACTGAGTTCCCCTCCTGTTGGACATAATTTGCATGGACACCAATGCTTTTCCCTCATCCCCCATCCCATTTCCATCACAGGTGTGACTCCTTCCCCAGTCTCTGCTTCCACTCCTCAGGCTAAATTTTAACCCGGTCTCAAGCAAACCCTTACCTCCAAAAGCCATCCTTGTATTATTTCCAGGCAGCTTGCCCAGCAAATCCTGTTTTCCACCTTCCCAAATGCCCATCCAAGCTCATGCGGATTCTGCTGTTCAGTCTTCCCCATGCACAAGCCAGCTCTTTGCTGGCTCCCACTGCCAGACTCCTCCCTTAGTCTCCTCAGTCAGCCTCACAGCCCCCCACACTTCCGAACCCAGCTCATCAGATCTGTCTTTCCTTCTTCCAAGCCTCCCACACAGCCACACTGCTTCTCGCTCTCAGCTCTATACTCAGCTAGTCCCAGGCTCTGCACTTCAGCTCCTTTAGCTATTTTAGTATCTCCCAAACTGTACTGACACATTTTCCTTTCTCTTCCCTCCCACATCCATTTTCACACTACTGATCAAGGCACAGCTTCTTCCTGCTGACTTCGTTCTTCGAATCTATTTCACCACTGATCCCTGACTTTCCCCCATAAAATCTTGCTCGTGCTTGCCCTGTTATTCAAAATGGATGGTTTACTCCTCTGTGCCACCTCAGTCCAGCAAAGGTTTCACTGAGAATATACAAGAGGAATGTCCCCTTAACCTCAGTTTTCAAATGCTTTTTCCAAAGCCTGCAATCTTAGAGGAGAGGTCACTGGAACCATTTAGGATGAGAAAAAAAAGCATAGTTTCCAAATGCTCTGTATAAAAATACGTAAATTCTCTTTGTTCAAAGGCTTTTAAAAGTTATCTGAGGCAGATACCTAGCATGGAAAATTTCTGCTTGAACAACTGAAATTTGACAAAATCCTATGCAGCTGCAAACTGTATTGAAACAAGAAGAGTTAAGGTGCATATTACCATTAGCAAAGACAGAAAGTTAATGGGAGCCTCTGTCTCTTCATTCAGGCACCAGAATCCTTGCAGCACCAACTTTTAGCTGTATGTTTAACTCCCCTGTTCTTAACTGAGGAGACCTACAGCAATGAAAAATAGACAGCCAAAAAAAATCCTCTGTACATTCACTTCGTCATGGTGTGATTTCAAATGCTAAGTAATGTCTCAGTTTATTTCTTGAGAGATTCAATGGCAATTTCTAAATATATAAATGAAAAAACTAAAGCAACCCAAAAAAAAATCTCTATGACAAAGAAATCTTTCTCTGTGAAGATTTGACTATACTATGAAAATCACAGTGACATAAAAAGTTATTGACAATACAATTTTTACTCACCCTATCAGAGAACCTCAGTGGAGATTTCCCATTCCTCTGAGTGATGGTAAATAGAAAATAAAGATTAGACAAAGATCAATACAAAGGGACCCAGTACTTTAATTTTATGCCTAGGTCTGCAAAGGAAATAGGGAAGAGGCTTTTGTCTTCTCCTTACCAGGACTTCAAGGCTGGGCAAAGCGTTTCTGCTTCCACATAGGTGTTTTCCCAGAAAAGCATCTGAAACACTGTAAACGTAGTATTTGTCTATGTTTTGATTAAACGTCCACCTAAAAGATGCAAGTTTTTCGCTGTGAATGTTTAGGTAGGCATCTCCAGTTGCATATTACAAAGCAGTGTGATGTGTCTGTCTCTGGGTATAATGAGCAGCATTTAACCACTCCCTGTGTATGGTCTACAGCAGCTGTCAGAGCCTGCCAAACCCTTCAACAGCAGCCTGCCAAGAGGCTGTCTGCTAAGCCACCAAGAAGGAGGATGGTTGGGAACATGAGGGTAAAGGTAATTTGGTTGAGAGCAACTGTGATGTGATAATGTATATTATTTTTAGATGAGGGACAAAAGAAAAGATCAATTCAAACCCAAGGGACTCTATACAAGAAGACTCCAATAAGCCCTGGGAACTGGAAGGTAAGTTCTCATGGGAAACACAGCCAAAGCAGAAGGAATTCAGTAGAGTTGGCAGTTCCTTAAAGGAATGATGTTTAGGGTACAAACACAAACAATCCCACACAGTAGGAGGATAGGAAGTATGGTCAGAGATCAACTTGGCTAAGCAATATGGTCTTCAATGACCTGAAACACAAGAAAGAAATGTACAGCAAGTAAAAAACAGGTCAAACTCCTAAGAACAAGTAAGAAAGAATAGCACAAGATGCTGAAACAAAGTCAGAGAGGATAAAGCACAAATTTAACTGCACAGAGAAATGGGCATAAGGGATAGCAAGAAAACAACTCTGAAACAAAAAGAAAACCCTTGTGATAGCCCACTTGCAGAAGGCTAAGTACATTTTCCACTGCTCTTCATAAAAGGGTGACCAGTAATTACACAACTAATAACTAAAATCAGTAAGAAAGAATTAATCTAAAAGGAAAAGAAAAGGTCTGAGAATAATTTGGAAATACTGCAGTTCACCTCATCCTCAAGTATGCCTGCAAAACATGTCTCCAGAAGAGCTCTATACTGGTCATTGACTGTACTGTCTCCCTTGGTTGTGATAGGAACCTACACCCCTGCACAGATATAGATGGCTATTTTATAGGCAGCTAAATTTAGGTGAAATTAGTCCTATCTCCATAGTGACAGCTGGGCCTGAGGAAGTGCATATGAAGATACCTTGAGAACGGAGTGAAGCAAGCTCAGAGCTGTTAGCTTCCTCTGCATAATCTCAGAAGCTGTGTGAGAAATGTGTGACCACATTGCTCAGATTTAAAAAGCCAAAAAATGAGGAAGAGACAAATTCTGGGAAAAATACTGTAATTAAAAAAAACTATTCATGAAATAGTTTTTAAACCTATATTGTTTTATATTTTTGACATGTTGGCTATTAATTTCTATAACAGGGCAACAAGTCTCATAGAGAAGCAGAAGGTCATGTAGTATATTTTAATTTTAAGAATGTTATTGACATGAAATCATAACATTTTCAAAAGTAAATGAAAGTGAAACTATTTCAGGGAGAGTGCAGACTACAAGGGGTGGGGAGGAGAGAAGAGGGAGGGGGGAAATAACCACAAACTAGTTTTTAATCATTTGCTATTGATCTCCAAAAATATAACCAGTGAGATTTCATCTGGATCTGCTCTTGGCCAGGTAATGGCCCCAGTCACTGATGACTTGAATAAAGAAGACGTCCTTCAACCTTGTAGATAACAATAAGCCCAGGTAACACACTGCAGGACACAGTAAATCCAGAATGCTGTTGACAAAAAAGAGAAATTACCTGTAGGAGAAAATGTGTTTGGTTTTACATGTGTTTACAAGTGTGAGGTTCTGAGGGGTGTGGTCGATACACTGGAGGGAAAGGATGCCATTCAGAGAGACCCTGACATGTCTTAGATGCAAGCCAACACAAACCTCATGAAGTTCAACAATGTGAAGTGCGAAGTCCTGCACCTGGGTTGAGGCAATCCCAGACACAGCTACAGGTTAGGTGGAGAAGTGATTCAGAGCAGCCCTGCGGAGAAGGACTTGGGGGTGTTGGTAGATGAGAAACTTAACATGAGCCAGCTTCAGTGTGCGCTCACAGCCCAGAAAGCCAACCATATCCTGGGCTGCATCAAAAGGAGCGTGACCAGCAGGTCGAAGGAGGTGATCCTGCCCCTCTACTCTGCTCTCGTGAGACCTCACTTGGAGTATTGTGTGCAGTTCTGGTGTCCTGAACATAAAAAGGGCATGGAACTGCTGTAACAAGTCTGGAGGAGGCCACAAGGATGATCAGGGGACTGGAGCACCTCCTGTATGAAGACAGGCTGTGAAAGCTGGGGCTGTTCAGCCTGGAGGAGAAAAGCTGTGTGGAGACCCCATAACAGCCTTACGTATAAAGGCAGTCTCTGTCCTCCTGCCAGAGCACAGTCCTCTCAACTATAACATACCATCAATATCAGTGACTGAGACCCAACATGCCAATAGCTGTGCTCCTGAGCCTGTCTTCCAGTGAAGTGGAGGATGCAATAAAAGGTTTGATAAACTTAAAAGTTCCATGCTCTAAGTTCCAGTACGCAAAGCAATAGCTGGTCCTTCGAGGATAAAAGATGCATTGATATTTCAGATGTAAGATGGATTTTTGTGACAATGCGGAATTGTTTCACAGTATCAGTATTCTTATAAGGCTGCAAAGATGAGAGATGTCAGCCTAAACTATGCTAATTAATAAGAACAGTATCTAAAACTAAGCAACAATTACAATGAACCTCAGCTTTCCCACAGCTTCTACCCCTCCGAAAAGAAAAGAAGCCATAGCAGAATCTGGATTTAGAATAACTAATGTAGCCTTGGAAGAGTACATCTACATGAAGGCCTGCAATGATACCCTCTGAAAAGATCATAACTTTTTAAATTAGTCACTCTACACTGATTATTATTTTTAACAGATCCTAGTTCAGCGTGAACACAGCAGTATACAGAAAATACAGCTTTTAATAGCCCTTTATACAGTTATTTAAGAAACAGGATGTGATGCCATGTTGTATAACCATACTACAGTGACTAAACATACATATGCCTGGCTCACTCAGGGCTTAACTCACCATAGCAGAATGAAGAATGTCAATATGAATGACAGAGGAAGACAACAGAATCACATTGTGCAGTCACAATTAAATTGCCCTTTTAGAGGCATCTTTTGCTTCCTCCACACAACACAGAAATGACTGAACGTATAAAGCACACCACTGTTTTACACTGATGTGCTTAGTCAAGAAAATCTGCTAATACAGTTGACAAGAGTTTCTAACTAGTGAAGCACTCCTAGAATATGTGAAGCCTGAGGAGAAAAACCCAAGTTGACCTTTCATTTCAATTTTCTTTGTTCCAAATTTAGAACTATTAACACCTTTCAAAAGTCTAAAATTTAAAAAAGATTGCAGCAGAGTGTGAAGTAGAAACTAGTAGTGAATTAGTACTCTCAATAAGCCTTGGCAATCCTTGCAAGAGCTGAAAAACAAAGGCAGCTTACTACTTCTGAAACAGCGTAGTAGAACTCATCCTACAGGTAAGAGTGCTCAGAAGTTTAATTATGAAAAGATTTCCAAAGCAGCTTCAGGTTGTGACACAAAAGGAAAGAGTATTTTGGAAATAATCTCAATAATGAAATGGCAGTAAAAGAAGACACTTGGGTGCATTTTTGTACTCTGTATGTTTTCATGAGTAAATGTCCTTGCACAAGCATAAAGATAGGTTTAAGACATCACATTGGTAGATAAATGTATTTCAGAAGGTCAGAAGGGCAAAAATTCTTCTGCCTTGAGAGCACTTTCTAGGGAGTTGCAGCTAAAAGTTTTAGATAGGAAAGAAGAAACGGGAGATGCTAAATAAGATTGTGTCCTGGCTTTTGATCAAGGCAGACAGAAAAGAAATACAGAAAATGTAGAATATCTGTGAAGGTTAGAATAGTCTATAAATTACAACAGGATTTCTTCTTTATACTACTATTTTAAATCTATTACCTACAAAATAGTTAGCATTTTATCTTATTT